CTGTCCCCATTGGCTCCTGACCCCTGAGCGTCCAGGCTGAGGCTAGCTGCCAGGGCAGTGGGCAGGTAGCCAGTGAGGTGTGGAGCTGGGCCGGGCCTCCGCCTGCCCTGAGCAGAGCCCGGCCTGGAGCAGGGGTGAAGGCTCCCTATGTGACTGGCACATTTGTGTTCTCTGCCTCCGTTTCCTCCTGCCAGATGGGGGTGTTGCCTCTCTTGCGGGGCTTGGGGGGGGTGCAAGTCTGTGTGGACACCCAGGGAAACAGGCCCCTCTCCACCCCTTTCCTAGGGAGCCCCAGGTGCTGGCACGGAGCCCATCCGCCGTTTTGCCTCAGGGCCTGCACCACCCTGCAGGTGGGCCGGCAGAGGGTCTGAGTCAGGCTCTGGGTGGCCTGGCTCTGTGGCCTCGGGCTGGCCCTGCCCTCTTTGAGCCTCAGGGTTCTCATCTGGCCAAAGGAGACAGAGTCCGCCCCACCCCTGACGCAGGTTGTAGAGAAGGGAAATGGGGTAAAGGGGGCGCTGGTTCTGAGCACAGTGGTTTTACAAAAACTGAAACCATCCGCGCCCACTCCTTGCGCTCTCTCCCTGGGAGAGACTGCGGAGGGAGGAGGGGGCACCGCCCACCCCACCGGGCGGGCACCGGCATAGGTGTGGGGAAGGGGTGAGGAGCATGTCCTGGGCTTGGACCCCGGCCAGGCAGATGACCAGCGGGAGGCCTCGGGCAGGTCCTGGAGCCCCTGGGCCCTGCTCTCTCCCCTGTGAAGCTGGCGGGAGTGCTAAGAGCAGTGGCTTTCTCAGGTCGCAGGAGGACTGCCTGGCTTGGAGGTGGTCGTCAAGCGTCCCTCCCCAGTGGCCTTTTCTTGGGACCTTGGCTACTGGGGAGGCATGGCTGGGGGGCTAGTGGCAAGGCTGCGTGGAGTGGCTGGGCAGCGGCCATCCTTGGGACAGACCAAGGGGTTGCAGGGCGGGGGCCATGGGTTGGCAGGGGTCTCCAAGATGGTGGCCAGAGGGCACGGGGCCCCCTCAGTCGTTCGTCAAGTTCTGGATGCATTTCCAGATATCCGTGTGATTCCATGCTGCGCCGGGACGGCAGCGCACGCGATCTAGAGAGGGACCTGGGCGTGCAGGCTTTGCTGCAGCTGGCCTGTCTGCACCCCCGGCCAGCAGGGCTTGGGGGACCTGGGAGCTGGGAGGGCGGGAGGCGCCAACAGCGCCGGGAGCCGCGGCCTGGACCTCTAAGCTGCCCCAGCCTGCAGCATGTCCTTGGGCGAGCCGGCCAACCTCTCTGGGCTATACAACAAGCGGAGGCAGCTTGTACACGAGCGGGAGGAGCCTCCCAGCGACTTGGGCGTCTGGCTCTGATCTCGATCCAGGCCTCAGATAATTGTGGATGGCTAGCACCTCAGCGGCCGCCTTCTCAGGCCCACGCTCGAGGCTCTGCGTCCTCTGAGCGCAGCTGCGGATGCGTGGTGTTCTCAGCCCCGCAGGGCACCCCGTTCTGTCCAGCACGGAGCTGTCATCTGCCTCCTGTTCTTGCTCTCACTAGGCGTGACACTGGGCGGGGGAGAGCTGGGGCTCCCACCTCTGGGGCAAAGGGGCTGCCTGCCTCGCTCAGGGCTGCGTCCTGTGGGTGCCCGCCCCGCCCCCCGGGCTGCCGCAGCTCCCTGGGGAGCTGAAGCCTGTGCTCACCCTGCACTGGCGCTGTCAGCCCGCACTGCCCCCGGCCCCGCCCCGCTGCTCTGGGGACGCTTCCCTGCCCAAGCAGGGGCTGCTCCGGAGTTCCTGAGCTGGGTGCTTCGCAAACGCAAGGCCATTTACTTCTCACCAAGTGTGCCCACAGCTGTCTCTGGGCGAGGGAGCTCGACGTGAAGTGCTTTGCCCGAGGTCCCAGTGACCCAGCTTCAGGTCCACCTTCCTGAGCCTGGAGCCCGGCCCCGGCCGCCGCCCTTCCAGCGCCCTGAGCAGGGCCGACTGTGGGAAGACAAGGCGAGACCCGGGTCTGAGCTGGATCACCTCGTGGTCAGCCAGTGGGGGCAGGCGGGCCGCCTGGTTGCCTGGAGGCCGAGCGTGAGCTACTGTGCGGGCCACCTAGGAAGCCAGGGCCAGCTGGGCCAAGCTAGCAGAGGCAGGGCGCTCACTGTAGGGAGGGGATTGTTCTGTGTGGGTAGGTCGATCCTGGACAGCTGGCAGGGGTAGAGAAGGGGAAGTTCATGATGCCCAGGCTGGGAGTGGTCGGTAGAGGCTGAGGACACAGGACTCTGTGCTGGACCGTGGGCACGTGGCTGTTTGGACGGCTGGGTGACCAGTAAGTCCCTTCCAAGTCGCGGTTCGTGTCTGGGCTTCAGTTTCTGCAAGGACACCCCCCACTCAGGCCCATCTGATCTGCCTCTTCTCTGCAGATCAGATCTCTTGGCTATGAAGGGGGCAAAGACTCGGGATGGGGTTCCTGGGTGAGTTCCCTCACTGCCCTCTCCATCCATCTGCTCATCTGGCCGCCTGTCCATCTGTCCAGCGACCCCAGCAGCTAGAGCAGTGGAGGGAGACAAGCAGCGCAGGGGGACGCAAGCGGCATAGCCAGCTCAGAGCAGGCCTGCTGCCTGGCAGGAACTTGCAGTGAGCCACCCACAGCCCATCACAGCCCCCGGGCGACGTTCCCGGTACCCGCAGCCCCTGGGGCGGATGGTCCCGTTACCCCGCAGCCCCTGGGTGGACGTTCTCGGTACCCGCAGCCCCCTGGGAGGACGTTCCTGCTATCCTGTTCCACACAAGAAGTGGGGACAGGGACACAGGCTACTCAGGGATCCAGGCATCTCCCACACTGGATGCTCCGTGGTGGCGGGAGGCTGGGACCCCGATCCCACAGTGCCTGGAGCCTGTTATAATACCAGGGGGTGCAGAGGAGGGCCTCTGCTCCCCACACACCAAGACTGGCCTTCGACAGTGACGGTCACATTGAGCGAGGATGGCCTGCTCCCAGATGCTCTCGAAGGCCTCGCCCACTCCAGGTCTCTGGGGCTCCAGGCAGATGCGCTGCGGTGGGGACTGCACCCACCACACCCACTGGCTCACTGAGCCCTACCCCCAGGTCATGAGCATCCTGCTGTTCGTGGAGCACACGGTGGAAGTGGCCCGGGGCAAGGCTTCCTGCAAGTCCTCGCAGATGGGCTACCTCAGGGTTGGTAGGTCAGGGGCCCCGGGGGTCTGGGAGTGGAGGGAGGGCGGGGGACAGAGGAGGGCCCTGCCCATCCCACTGGGCTCCCTCTCTTGGAGCTGCCGGTGTTTCATATGGGGACATGTCAGCTGCCCCCAGGTCCTAGGTGGTGAGAGTGGATGAGATGGTGTTTGCAAACCCAAGCGGCTCCTAAGAGCGCGGCGCTCTGCCGAAGCCCGCCCCTCTGCCTGTCTCCTGAGCAGGTCCCAGCGCCTCCCTGGGGGCCTGGCTGCATCTCCCTTGGGCTACCCCAGCCACCATGCGCCAGCCATACTGACCACACCGGGCTGCCCTGTGTCAAGCCCTGCCTGGAGCACCCCTGCTCTGGGCCCAGGCCGAGGCCCGAACTCACAGCTGCTTCACAAGCTGCCAGAGAAGACCCTCCCCCGCCCGCACCCCAAGTTCCTGAAATGCTCTAGGCTGTCTTTGCAGCCTTGAGACTGTGGGCGGTGGGAGGGCAGGGCCCGGGCTCGCTCTCACTGCCCACACTGGCGGTTCTCGGTGTGGCCCCGCACTGCCGGGCCTCAGCTCTGCCCTCGCCCCCAGCCGACCTGCTCGCCAGCTTCCTGCTCATCACCATGCTCTTCGCCATCAGCCTGAGCCTGCTCGTCGGCGTGGTCAAGGTGAGGCGGGAGGAGGGCCCAGGGCGGCTCCCCTGCCCCGACCACCCCACTGGGCAGTGCTGGTGCCCAAACGGGGTGGGGTGGCCAGTCCAGGAGGCCCGCATGCTCCCTCGAGACCTTGGGGAGCCTGGGTCCCCGCGGGATGGCCCGGTGGGCTGTGCTGATCGTGGTGCCCGGTGTCCCCGCTAGGGGCCCACAGGCCTGAGCCTGCAGGGCAGGGGAGCCCCAGAAACGGGGAGGTGCTGTGTGAAGTGGGGTGGAGGTGCTGGGCTGCTCTCAGAGTGCCCGGTGCAGAGGGCAGTGCCCGGAACCCCGAGGGAGCACGCCTGGGTGCTGGAGAGGGGCCCACCGGGGAGACTGACCCACAGACAGACGGGGCGTCTAGTGTGGCAACGAAGGGGTCCTCAGCCCCGCAAGGCTGGTTGAGAACGAAGACAGGCTGTGGCCCAACCTCCTGCCACGGAGGACCCGGCTTGTCCCCGGCTTGTCCCCCGCTTGTCCCCGGCCCGAGAGGCAGGAGGCCCGGGGCAGGAGGCAGAAGTGCTGTCCGTGCAGGCAGCAGGGGTGAGGGCTGCTACTTCGCAACATCTCCCTTGCCTGAGGTGGCACCGTGGATCCCCGGGCGAGAATGTGCCCACTGGCACCCCTGCTTCCCGGGACGCTGGCCTGCGCAGGGTGCTGCAGGGGTTCCTGCTCAGACTCGAAGGTCCCGCTAGAAAGCTGGGGCAGGCCGACCCCGAGGCTGAGATTCGGCTGCCCCTGGGGAATTCGAGATGAGCACCTGAGCCCTCAGACATCCCTCTACCAGGTGTCCCGGCGTGTGTGCGTGTGCATGTGTGCAGATGTGTGCGCTCATGTGCATGCATATGTGCGTGTCCATGCATGTACGTGTGCACTCATGTGTGTGCGCATGCCCATGTACATGTGCATGTGTGCGTGTGTGCATGCATGTGTGTGTGCGTGCGCGCGCGGGGCAGGCACTGGTCACTGCGGCCACTTACTTGCAAGTGAAGGAGGCACTCCCCTGCAGCCACCCCGGGCTCTCACCAGCACTTGGCTTTGGGGCCGGCCGGTGCTGAGGAGGGTCTCCTGCTCACACTTCCTGGTCTCGGCCCACGATGGCCCCTCTGCCTCCAGACACTGCCCTGTGCCCCAGCTTGCTCTAATCACATTTCCAGAGCTGGCCCTGGTGTTCCCACCTCCGGGAAGTCCTCTCTGATTCTGTGTCCTCTGTGGAACGGACATAGAGTCTGCCCTTGTCAGGTTCTCGTGAGAGAGTGGTCAGGAGCCCTGGTAGATGGGGTGGGCTTACTCCTGCCTCTGCGCAGGGCCTGGGTCTTACCCTCTCCCCATCCCGTCCCGAGTGTAGACCTGCACGGGGCCACCTTGGTGGCGGGGTGGGGGGGTGTTGATTAGGTAGACGGTTGCATTTTCCTGGGTGGGAAGCGCCTGCTCTGGGGTGGCTTGGCCGTGTGCGAGGGCCACCCTGCAAGTGCCACCTGCCTTCCAGAGCCGGGAGAAGTACCTGCTGCCCTTCCTGTCCCTGCAAGTCATGGACTACCTGCTGTGCCTGCTCACCCTGCTGGGCTCCTACATCGAGCTGCCCGCCTACCTCAAGTTCGCCGCCCGCCGCCGCTCCGTGAGGACCACGCGCTCTGGGGGTGGGCGTGGGCTGCCGAGGGAACCCCTGCCCCTGGGGTCCTGAGCCACCTGGTGCTCCCCTGTGAAAGGCTGTGCGGTCACGTCTCGTCACTGAGCCTGACGAGGACCGCGAGGGGACACACCTGGCACTTGGCTAGTACTCAGTGCCCTGAGTGCCCCACGGGGTGCGCACCACGGAACCGCGGGCAGTGCCCTGAGTGCCCCACGGGGTGTGTGCTGCGGAAACGTGGGCACGCTGAGGGGCACCACAGGAATAGGCACTTCCTCTTCCATGCCAGGCCTGTCTGTCCCTCCTCTGCCATCACGTGGAAAGCAGGAGGGTGGTGGTGAGGGTCATGGAAGAGGAGTATCCCCAGTGGGGTGCAGGAAGGCTGCTGCCACCATGAGGGGTCCCCCATCAATTTATACTTTCCCCGACCCTTGTCCTGTGTCATGCAAAGGCCCGGCCTGGATCTCAGTGGGCTCCGCTTCAGTCCCAGGTCTGCCACACTCAGTGTGGACACCCGTGGCCCACGCTGTCCACACTGGCCTGGTGTGGGCGGTGTCTCCTGCAGAGACGACTGTTATGAGGGGCTGCTGTGCCCCGCCGTGACAGGGCCTCTCACCTCTGGCCCGTGTCCCCCACCTCTGTTCCCCAAAGGGCCCCTCCAAGGTCCCCCTGCTGACCCTGCAGCTGCTGGACTTCTGCCTGAGCGTCCTGACCCTGTGCAGCTCCTACATGGAAGTGCCCACCTACCTCAACTTCAAGGCCATGAACCACATGGTGAGTCTGGGCCACACGCTGCCTGTGGGGCCTCAGGCAAGCCCCTTTGCCTCTGTGAGCCCCATGGTTCTGGGCTTGGCTCCCTAGGTTGGTGGAGACCTGTAGGAGGCTCCTTGGAGAGGGGACGTGTGGAGGGCGAGCTCTCAGCGAGGCACCTCGAGGAGGGCATGCGTGGGACGGAGACAGGGAGGGCCTGAGCAGCACTGTGGCATTAGGGGCAGCCTGTCTGGAGCCCCAAGTGTGAGCCAGCCAAAGAAACGTGAGCTCGGGGTGCTGCCCACCACATCCCTCCAGAGGCTGTGGCCTCGGCCGTGCACGGCTGTGGTTTCAAAGTCTCCGAGGCACATGCACGCTTAGCTGGGCAGGGATGGCCCCGGGGTCTGTGACGTGGACCGCTGTGTCCCTGAAGCTGGCTAGAGGGGAGGACCCTCCGGCATGGCGGCCGCTCACACGCCATGTGCCATCCCAGCTCTGCACTGCGTGGCCTCCTCCCCTCTCGTTTTCCCAGCTGTGGGCCCGCGCCCCGGCCTCTGGCAGGCTAGGTTCTGATGCTCTGGGCCGGGCATGGTCAGATGCGCTTGGGGACCAGACTCGGGCCTCCCACGCGGTGCTCCCTGAGGGTGGCCACACAGGGCCGCACGTGAGCGCTGGTAGCTTGCCTGTGTGTCCCCGAGAGAGGAGCAGGGGAGAGCCGCTAGGCTTCGGTGAGCTCCCGGGCCGTGGCACTTGCAGCTGCCGCGGTCCATGTGTCAGCAGCGAGTTGCCCAGTCCAGCATGCCCTCGGCGGGGTGAGGGAGATAAAGCCCCTGCTATGAAGGGACAAGGGTCCCTGACCGTGCGGGGACATTCACACATGGCCCAGAGTGAGTCGCCTTGAGCCGGCGTCTGGCTGTAGGCCCCGGCAGTGCCCTCCCAGTGTGGGGGCATCTGTGGCTCCTTTAGGCGAGGCAAGAGGGCCCTGGGCTGATGTCTGGGCAGCCCGCAGCCACCAGGTGGGCAGTGTCCCCTCCTGGCAAGTGCAACTGGGTGGCACCAGCACACCAGCTTCCCTCGGCCCACACGCCCGTCTGCGGTTGGGGCAGCGACTGCTCCCCAAGCCGCCAAGCAGTCCGCCGAGGTGCTGGGCACGCCCGCCGCTCCTGCCCCTGCCCCTGCGTGTGTGTGTGCGTGTGCGTGGAGCACGCGGGTGCTGCTGGAGCGCGTGAGCCCCCTGGCCAAGGGGTTGACGGCCACGTGTGTTGCAGAATTACCTCCCCAGCCAGGAGGGTGCAGCTCACAGCCAGTTTGTCAAGATGATGGCCGTGTTCTCCGTGGTCTTCATCACCGTCCTCATCCTGAAGGTGAGCGCCTGCTTGGCTCCAGGAGGGCGGAGGCCCTGCACGCCAGGTCTGGCCTCGGCCCCCGTGGCCTCCTTCGCTGCCCTTAGCTCTGTTCTCCAGCCCTTGTCACCCTGCTCCCGGGCTCCCCTCACCAGGGATAGTCAGGCAGGACCCGTGGCCTGTGGCCACAGAGAAGGGCATTCCTTGGGGCCCCCCTGCCAGAAGAGGGGGTCTGAGCAGCAGCTGACCCTGCCTTCTGGTGAGCCGTCCCCTGGCCGGTCTCCGTCCCGGTGCCTCGTTCCAGGTCTACATGTTCAAGTGCGTGTGGAGGTGCTACCGGCTCATCAAGTGCATGAACTCGGCCGAGGACGGGGCCACCACCACGGCGTTCCCGAAGGTGAGCCCACTGCAGCCAGGCACCCGGACCTGCTGGCAAGGCCCTGCCCTGGTTGGCCCTCGGTTCTCGTTTGTGTGACGCGGTGGGGCCATGAGAAAGGGGACGCGTTTCAGCACTGGCGCTGGCCGCTGGGGCCCTGGTCCCCTCGCTCAGTCAGCCGTCAGCGTCTGACTCCCCGACCCACAGCTAATCCCAGGTACCGGGTACCGGGGAAGCTGAACGGCCCCGCCCTGGGAAGCCCGCGACCAGAGTGAGCCCAGACAAAGTGCAGCGACAGCCCGGCGTGCGGCTCGGGGACAGCTGGCCGCAGCCGGGTAGAGGCCAGGCTCCCGCAGCTGTCGGCCATGCGGACCAGTCAGCTGGGAAGGGCTGGGGTACTTAGACGCTGCTCAGCGGGTGACAGGGAAGTGGCCCGGTCACAGTAGGGGGCGCGCTCCGCCCACCCGTGACATGGGATGGCATTAGTCAAGATGCTTTCAGTCGTGGGCGGCACAGACCCACCTCCATCAGACGGAGGTGCAGAGGAGCTTCCCCAGCTCACAGCCTCCAGGCCTGCTCAGGCCCGCTCAGGCTCGGCCCAGGCTTGGCTCAGGCCTGCTCAGGCTCGGCCCAGGCTCGGCTCAGGCTCGGCTCAGGCCCGCTCAGGCTCGGCTCAGGCTCGGCTCAGGCTCGGCTCAGGCTCAGCTCAGGCCCGGCTCAGGC